AGCATGGGTATACAAAATAAACAACTGTGAACCGAGTGGAGGTTGAAACAAGCTGGAATTCGGAGAATCTGGTGTTACAGTTGTGTCCATTAGGTGAGTTGCTTCTCTGAACCTCATCACAGCAGAAATTGAAAGAAACACAGCTTTTGGTTTGTATTTAACCAAGCTTGTCTTATCCCCGTCTTAATTCTAAATTGTGATGATCGTGGCAGTGACGGACATTTCCTTTCGCAGCTCCGGGGCCCCCAGAGGAGAGCCACAAAGCCGTGGCACGTGTGCATTTGTATAGGGGCCCATCAGACCGTAAAAGGAGGAGGGTCCCGGCGTGTGCCTCTGTCGGGGAGGGGCTGAGCGCACACATTAATGTAATAAACCGCCAGTACATCTGCTAAGCTATCTGCACATCCTCCAACGAAATCCACCAAACCCAGGCTGTAAGCCCTCCCACAATCAAATCCACTGGGATGTTGGTTTCATCCGATTGGTCGGGGATGCTGCAACAGGGGGGGCGAGAACAATAGCATCATTCCGGCATAAAAAGAGTGGAGCTATGCCTTGGAGACGAAAACATTTCAGCAACAGAAGAATCGATATACTGGGGAGATAAAGTCCCAGAAGCTTCTAGTGTTGCCATATTTTTAACAAACCTGGATACTCGAGACTTCACCCACCTCCCCGAAGTGCCTTTCCTCTCATACTCGCCAAGATGCCCAAAGGATTCCTGGTAAAAAGAAACAGGAAATCTACACATGTTTCCTACAGGACTCGGTCGGACGAAGATGACTACCAGGAGCATCCCACCCCAGCTGCCTTGCCGAGTTATGTGGACCCCTCCCCGCCGATGTCCGTGGCGTCCAGTCCGGAGCGCGCCGCAGCCTCTCCAGATTTCACAACAGCTTACGCGCCAGTGCCAAGACTGGAGAAGCCGGTGCTGTTCGGCAACCCGGAGGCGGTGTGCCAAGCGATCTACAGCCCCACCCGGCCCATCAGCAAGGAGCACGACAGGGGATATTTCGAGCAAAGTTTCAATCTGGGCTCGCCTATTTCTGCCGAGTCATTCCCCACACCTGCCTCCCTCTCCGGCCTGGACCAGCTCATGTTCGCCCCGGTCGACCTAAAGATCGGAACCAGCAACAGTAGCCGCAGCGGCACCACCAGCAGCCTTCCGGTACCGAGCAACCGGGTCGCCACCAAAAGACCCGCAGCTGACGGTACAGAACGTAAATCTAAGCCCGCCTCCAAGAAACCCAAAGCCATCAGAAAACTCAACTTCGAAGACGAGATGACGACTTCTCCCGTGCTTGGTCTCAAAATCAAAGAGGGGCCGCTGGAGGTGAAGCCGAGGTCGTCTTCCGCGGGGAACAAGCCTCTGGGGGAGTTTGTGTGTCAGCTGTGCAAGGAGGCGTACGAAGATCCATTCTCTCTGGCTCAGCACAAGTGCTCCCGCATCGTCAGGGTCGAGTACCGGTGTCCAGAGTGCGATAAGATGTTCAGCTGCCCGGCTAACCTCGCCTCTCACCGCCGCTGGCACAAACCCCGGACCACCGGAGCACCTGCCATGGCACAGGCTCAGGCCATCAAACATGAAACGGCCAAAATGCCACCCATGGGTGTCAAGTCAGTCACCGACGAAGCCAAAGACATGAGTGACAGAGACACCCCGAGTCCAGGTGTGTCCGAGTCGGGCTCTGAAGATGGCACCTATGACTGCCAGTACTGCGGGAAGAGGTTTAAGAGACAGGCATACCTAAGAAAACACATCTTGGCACACCAGGCCTTGCAAAAGAAAGTGCTGGAGGAGCACGGGTTTCAAACCGGCGACCGCCCGGCAGAGCAGGCTCCGGTCTTACCCTCCTCTTCAGCATCATCAGCATCATCATCATCATCATCATCATCATCATCATCATCATCCTCAGAGGAAGCCACAAACCAAAGCCCCCTCAACCTGAGCCCGGCGGACTGCCTGCTGTGCCCGGTGTGCGGGGAGAGTTTCACCAGCAGGGCCGGCCAGGAGAGACACCTGCGCCTCATGCACTCCTCCCAGATTTACCCGTGCAAATACTGCCCCGCCACTCTCTACAGCTCGCCGGGGCTCACCAGGCACATAAACAAGTGCCACCCCTCGGAGAACAGGCAGGTGATCCTACTCCAAATGCCGGTGCGCCCCGCCTGTTAGAGACAACACTAAACTTGTGCCTTTGAAGGGGGGATAACTTAAAAAAAAAGGAGAAACAAAAAAAGTGGCTTTGGGGTTAAAAAATAAGAGTTTGAGATGCTCACTGCCATAACTTTAGGCCAATGAAAGGCAGCCGGTTTGATGTTTAAGTGGTGTTTAATGAGGTGTCTTTTCCATGCCAATCAGTGATTGTTGAATGCTTCTCTCTATATTTGAACTACTTATAGGCCTATTTTGAGATTTTCTTTCTCAACTTAGTTTATCAAGAAGAAAAAAAAGAATACAAAGCGTTAGTTTGACTGTTAAAGGGTATTTTTCTAGGACAGCACATGTGTTCAATGATAGCTTCTAGACCTAAGAAATGTCTTAAAATTCTCAGAAATCCTTTTCCCCATCAAAGCCTTTTGAATTCACTATCACTGTAGCTTTAGGCTAGTTTGGGAATGACTTCGTATTGGTGGGAAAAAGAGAGTGACTGAGACATTCCCTGTTTAGTAGAACCACAAATGCCTTTAGTATAAGCCTAGTCCGACATAGCCTAAATACACATCCAAATCCCGCTGTATAACTGCCTTAAAAAAAGTCAACATAGACTGTATTAATTTTGAATGCTGGCACATATTTTATTATTATTATTATTATTATTGTTATTATTATTATTATGGAAGATTGTTGCAATATTTTTCATCATATGTTTATTTATTTATTTATTCAAATTATTTTATGTAACTTATTGTTGTGTTTGGTGTGATCTCTTCTGTGAATCGTTCTGGCAGTTTACATGTCGTATAGCCAAAATGTATTTTTATTTTTTGTTTTTTTGGGGTCAAATTCACGAGTTGTGCTAATTGTCGTGGGTCGGGTTTTAATCCTCAATCCCCACAGCTCTTGTAAAAAAAACAAACGTAAAGCTCTTACCTTAGATGCAATCTTTTTTAAGGACAAGTTATTTTTCTTAAATGTTGGCTTTTATAGCGCTTTGATTGTATGTGTACATCGTTGTTGTCTATCGAAATAAAATATTTTCAAAAGGACACGTGTCTCAAGGTGGTTGAACTTTCTCAGACAGAGTGGAAATAAGTATATGGTGGTAATTAACGAATACTTCATATTACTGGTGGGAATTTGGTTATGCTGACATGATGAGTTTGATGATCTTTTATAGTCTTTAGAATATCCGTGATGGGTTTTCTCTTGAGGGAAGTCTGGACAATTATTTCCAAAAAGCTTCATATAGGCTAATAATGCTAAGATTATTATGTAAATGAATACAGGTAGAACATATTAATTTATCAAATGAGATGAAAGTATGAGATGTTGGAAAAAGCCCTCTGACTTTGTGGTTATAATTTTAGAACCCACAATGAAACCATGTGCTTAAAAACTTGCGTAAAAGCTCTTTCAAAATAACCTTAAACGCGTATTTACACTACACTGACTTATGCTTTAGTATAAAACATCTGTCAATATAATCTTAAAAAAGTGAGTAAAATGCAGTTATTATTCTGCTTTTATGGCCGATCATGTGGTTTAAAGTGGACTTCCAAATCAGGTTACCAAGCAAGATGAATAAGAATACAATTTATCACCATAAAACTTTTAACAATGTCACTGTTTAACGTGTAATGTATCCTCTGCACCATCCCTCTCACATCGGGTCCCACTCCAAAACGGTGCAACTCTTTTTACTCGTCCCCAACAGGAACAGAAACCTCAGGATCCCCCCCGGCCAAACCTTTGCCTTCGATTCCCCGTTCACCAGCCTGATTCGCAGTGAATCATAGCTCCAGTGGCTCAATAGAGGCCGTTTCGCTGCCACAGAGAAGCACTTAGGGCCTAATCATAAATCCCCTCCTTAATACCATGTCAGGACATGACAGGAGGACAAAGAGGTGGTGGATCAAACTCACCTCTGGAGCAGTAAAACATCTGTCTTCTCTGGAAGACTCATATGCAGTTCGATGTGTGCTGATTTAGGGCACATCCGGGCTCAGTGGGCTTCATATCTGACCTCCAGAACCTGTAAGGCATTAATTCAGTTGTAAATTAGCACACAGCCTCCTCTTCAGACTTACAGAGACATACTGTCAGCACTGGGTTGACCTCAGAGCATTATTACTCATGGTATAACTTGCCTTATTTGTTGAAAAGATTACAAAAAATCTCCTTTTTGCTATAAAGATTTTCCTGCTTATTAAAACTCTCCAGCCTTCTCAGACTAAAAAAGAATAAAACCATGTGTTAAATGACTGTCACTCCCCCTTAGGGCATCAGTGACAGTACATCCAGACAGAGATATACTGTATTAGAAGTGTGAAAATAGACTACAGTCAGCAGTGTAACACATGAAAAAAGACAATCTGGTAGTAACAATCAGCCTGGGACACCCAGACCCTGCTTCATAAACTCTCTCGGGGTCAATGACTGAGGCAAACAGCGCTGAGCATGGTGAAAATGAGCTAACATTATCAGCTTCTTTCTCACCCTTTCTCTCTCACAGTTTTAGGGCTCCAATTACAGTCAAGTGCTTTTCCTGAGTCTTCATGTGACCCAGGCGAGGCAGGGCTGCAGTCTAGGTGCTGCAGCCTATGCACCTGTACCTCCTGGTGAGCCTCCATTATGCCAGCCTGCTGAGCAGCAGGGGAGACAGATGGGAGGGGGGTCAGGTTACCCTGCTGCTGCTAGCACGCCTGGGCCAGGGTCAGAGAGCCCATGGTAACAGCACCATCATGTCAGCACACACACTCTGGCCCACTCTGCTAAATCCGAGGTTACACAATTATTTGATGTGTTGTTAGGAGGGGGGAAAAAGGCACAAAGAAACTTAGAATTTCAAATTGATTTAATGAAATGTTTCAATTTTCACATTTCTAATAAAGATAGCAGGAATTCGGTCGTTAAAAACAGTTTGATATGTTGACAAGTAATGATGAAATCTTCAAGCTTTTTTTCCTCTTTCTCTTATACAAAGATTATATTACAGGCATTCATATATTTATATTCGGAAGGCGCTCGAGCCTTCAAATTTGACACAATGTACAAGGATTTTTCTAAAACGAGAAGAGAGAGAAAAAAACATACTAGGGCTAACACTAGTTCATTTTCCTCACGTATATAAGACACACAATCCTTATCTTGGTCCAAAACTAACATCTCCAGCCAACTAAACCACCAAAGGGGGAGCACAGACCCCTTTCTAAAGACATCTGCTAATAAACTACAATCTTTAAGATCAGCATCCTGGGCGGTTCCTTCAAGTTGGGGGGGGGGGGGGGGGGAATAACAAAAAAAGAGATGTGATCCAGGCCTATATTTATACATTCTTCAAAAAAAATGAATCAACCCAAACAAAAGGAGGTGACGTGTGCAGGTTAGTAAAGACAACAGACAGGAGAGCGATGGGGGGAAAGTAAGGCATAGTAGTGCAACAGATGGGGATAGAGTTGCAGCTTGGGTGGAGCCCTCTGAGGATGTGGGTGTGTGTGTGTGGAACACCTGGCTGCCATGACTACCCCGAGCGGGCAGGTTGGAGAAGTGAGCGTCGCCCCGGCTGTTGCTAGGAGGGCTGCTAGATTTCAGCTCAGGCATGCCACCTAAACCCAGAACACCCACTCCTCTCTTGGGAGGCGATGTGGGCGAGGGCGGAGGATCATGGGAAAGAGGAGGTGCCTCCTTGACTCCTATTCAGGGACGGAGCAGTGCACCACCTGTAATAAAGACTAAAAGAGAGAACCCCACAAATCCATCTGCTGCTGTTTTTGTTGTGGGAAGCACAAGACGCTGACCTTTAGAGACACAGAGAGGGAGGGGGGGGGGCTTTGTTTTAGACTAACTAATGATGGAGATGTGATGCAGGGTGTCTATGGTTTGTGTCACAAAAGAAGAGAAACTCAAATGTGCTTACGGGGAGGAGCATGTTAGAGGACAGACATAACACAGGCACTGTGAGAAGCTCCCTCTGAAACTCACACACTCATACACACACTCAAACACACCAGTGCATGGACTTAAGATTCACCTGAGGCTCTGGTGGCATATTTCCTCTAAAACAGCACATGAATAGATAATACAATACAACATCAAATAGTCCTTTCTAATATAAATCTAGCAAATAAAATGTAAAGCAATTTACATCCAAGAACGAAGAGAAACATTCAAATGCTAGGTAAATCAATGACAGTGCAAAAAATAAACGTTGGAATGTCGATGCCTTAGCTTCACAGGACAGGGGAAACTGATAGCGGAGGAAAGAGACAGGAGGAACTTATTCAATTACCGGACATGAGCCCAAGTTAACGACATCAGAAAACAATTACAAACGCAGTCTTTTCTCGTTTCAGCAGAGTTGCATAAATCAAATCATGACACAATCCATCGGAATTCATTTAAAAATGAAAATTAGAGGGGTAAAAAAAACAACACAACCCCAAACAGATTTTCTATTAAGCTCCAGTTAGAAAAGACGTCATTGATTGTCCACTCTGGGTTGAAGACAATTAAAAATCCTCCTGACTGCACGTCCTGCAGGGACTCAGAAAGTATGTGTGGTAGTGCAGGGAGCACGGACAGTTCTGGGGAGGCTATCCCCATGCATCAGTGTTTTTGTCTTCCTTTTTCAGTGTATGGAAGTCCATGAACATGGTCCAAACTGGTGCTTAAGAGCGACTTCCTGTCCCCCAGTGGCTATCTTTGACACAGCAGAAAGGTTGCGGCAGGTGCGGGAGGAGGTAAAAAAAGGCAAACATATTTATAAATGGATCCCAACATTTGTGCAGTTTTAGCATGATGCCATTTACAGCGGTGTCCTTCAGTGCTTTGTCACATTAAGTGTTGAGACGGTTGAGACACAGAAACAGGGGGAAGCAGTCTCCCTTTCCCTTAACATAGTAAGAACGTCTTACTCTCCAGTGCATAGAGACAACACTAGAAACATGAGAATAAAAATGACATTTCTTTTGATCACAGGTTCCTTTCACGACTTCTCATTCAAGTCTTCCTATGCTGCTGATCCTTATGCTGAAACCACCAGGGTGAACATAAATAGCGTAGTCACATGTCCATCTCGATTAAGCAGTTAAACACCACAACAAATAGAAATGTATCAACGAAAATCAATGATTGCCACTTAAATTAAAAAATTGCATTATGCTCCAGTTACATGTTTATATGACACGAAATAAAACAAAGAAAAACAGTACACGCCAAGAAACACTTGCAGTCACGGCTGGGTGTGTGAGGTTCTTTGAGAGAAAGATTAAAGGCTGCACTCGGGTGGGGAAAAGGGGACGGGATGAAGAGCTCAGTTGGAGGATTTGCTTATAGCGCTGGCTGACCGGCGGAGCTTTCCGGACACTCGGTTCTTCGTGGCACGGGGCATTGTGGGAGAAACCTGGTCCACGGGGTCCGTTGGTCCTGCGTTGTTTCCGGATTCTGTGCTCACGCTGCCGGTGAAGGAGCCTGGGAGAGAGATGGAGGGAGAGATTGTGGACAGGAAGAAAAGGACAACAATAGATGAGACAGAGTTAGACATGGCAGTGGGGTTCATCAGGTTGTGTGATTGCCATTTTATCCCAGCATGCTTTGTCATGCATTTGGCTGCTCCCACAAAACAAGATCACCTAGGTTTTTTTCACCGACATTCACAAAAACGTACAATTCAAACTGTCAAAGTGCTGAGATTTGAGTTTGTTTCACCCATTAAGCCATTAAAATTAAGATATGAGAAAGTGATTTCAAATATTTCAGAGATAACATGCTTCTTTCACATGCTGTGGGAAAGCAAAGCTTGTTAAAAGAGAAGCCGCCTTTCTTCCGAATACAGAGCTTCCAGATGCTTAAATGACATAAAAAAATGAGGCAACCTTTGTAGCTAAGGGTAAAAAAAAAGTATTCAGTTCACAGTGTGACAGCAAAATGCTTTGAATGGAAATAAAATGGCACATTATGCTCTTGTTGTGAACATGTGGAGCCTTCCCATTGTTAAGTATTGTCCTTTTTTAGAAAAAAACGTCACAGATAAGGGGACAGCAAGAATTAATGGGCTGGGAGGTGGGCATGGGGGGGACAATCAAGTATTGTGAACATCGCCCGGACTTCTTCAGTGTGCCCCTGACCAAACCCAGACCTGCTGCCTCCCCTCCCCTCCCCCCCCCCCCCCTTTGGCCCCCATGCCTCGAGTTTAAACAACTTTTCTGCTTTGTGGAGGTGGCATCTGGTTGCCTATTTTCTTTCCTATCCTTTTATTTCCTGCCATTTTTCCGAGGCATCTCAAGTTGCAGCGGCTAAAAGGAACGGCAGATGGCTGGAGTAACAGACACTCAGCAGCACAGTGGCCACCGGCAGCATCCAGGGCAGCGCTCACTGGGAGAGGAGGGCTGGGCTATGGATGAAACATAGGGTGTGTGTATTGTGAACGGCTAGAGGGGAGGCGAGGGGGGTCCGAACATGGATTCTCAAATCTGCATATGAATATAAAAAAAGGGACTGGCTTGGCAAAAAAAAAAGAAGAAAATAGGCTGGCCTGATGGACGGAATAATTCCTGCATTCCCGTATTCTTCTACTCATTCCTACAGTAAACACTTTGTGGGCTTAACTCCATCTGCATGTACTGCGAAAACATATGATAGACAGGAGGAAGGCAACCACCTATTACAGCTAATACACACTGACAATAGTGCGGTACAGTTCACCACCCACTCAACAGACTTCCCTTTTCGTTTAGCGGCCATTAAAACATGCTGCACTAAACAGTCATCACTCCCACTGTGGCACTTAATGACTGCGGCTGCATCGGTTAATTGATGTTCTTCACTGTATGGCCTTATGTAAGAATTCATTTTCATAGTAAGATACCGCTTGAAAAAAAAAATAACCCAGATCAAGAAGAGGCTAATGTATCATTATGGTCATTTTAACTCAGCATTTCCGCTCCTTGCTCAGCCCAATCTGCCTTACAGTGAGGTTCATTTCACATGGGAGGAATAAGGGAGAGAGAAAGAAAACAAAGAGGGTCTTTACATGGCCCTGCTATCCCATTGGTCCCCTCTGCAGCAGTTCAAACAAGGCTTTAGATGACAAAGACATCTTCCAGTGCGGCAGGTGTTAGTCTCAGAGTCTGCCCCAGGCAAACAGGCACACTCCAACAGGAGGAAATAAGGGGGGTGGAGGGATTGGAGGGATTGGGGGGGAAAGAAAGGAAAGAGAAAAGTGTTTGCTGGGGGAAGAGATAAAGGCGCGCCACATGCAGAAGCGAGGGCCAGAAGTGTAGCCGTATTGTTCATGCTGCTACTTAGTCAGGTGCTAATTGTCCCCACCGTGCATCACTTTCAATTACCAGCCTGGCCTAAACAGTAGGACACCCCCAAATAAACAGCCTGGTTTCTCTGTCCCGTTACCCCTTTGTCAGAGCACTCAGTAAATAAAGCTTGGTTAGTGCTGGATGGAGAGAAAGAAGAGTGGGAGGGGGGAACAGCCAGGATGAGGGATCGAGCGAAGGGGTAGGTAGGCCGCTGGACGGAAACGAGCTTCAGGTCTGACTCGGGGCTTACCTGCGCCATAAACAGTTTTTGGACCTTTATATTTTTAATCTAAAAGGGGAAAAACAGAGTAGAGCATCATGTGAGACACCATACCACAGTGCAGCAGAACACAACACAACGCTGCTGAAAAGTCAGTGATCCGAGGGAGACTCAGACAGCTTGTGTGGCGTCGAGGTTAGTCATCACTGGAAGGTTTCAAAAGTCACACAAGGTTAAATGTTTTTACGGCGATGAGTTAATCAACAAGTGCCATTTTTTATTCTGAAGATACCTTCAAGGATATTTTCTGCCAGTGCCTGTTAAATCTGTCCAATTCACATATTTCAAAATCAAGAAGATTTTGAAATCCAAACCATGAATGGTGGGCAGTTCACATGGCAACAACAGAAACAATTTGCACCACTGTTACTATTAAAGAGGGTTAGTGTGGGAGTGTAAAAGGGTTTGAAGAGGTTTTATCCACTAAAAAGAAATGTTTCTTATGTGCAGTTATTCATTAAGAAAGTTTCAAGGTTAAAACACAGACAACATCACAACACAATACAAAATGGAGCAGAGCAGTGCAGGTGAAACACAACAAGGGCAGAGCACTGTGGATACAGTTAGTATGGCAGATGGACTAGCTCATGCAGGACGCCATGATGCTGGTCTGAAGTTGCATGGTAAGAGTGAGGTTGCATTCAGGGTCATGGAGTTAACTGACAAGCCAAATATGTTACGAGAGGAGTAGAGGGTGGAGGTTAAAATGGTTCAAATACAGCTACTTTTATCCATTAGCATGCAGAATCTGAACTTGGGCCATTTTTTCTTTCAAAAATTGGCTCAATCAAGCGCAGCCCACATAGTTATTTGATGATGGCGGGGTTCACAATCATTTTAATGAATTAATGGATGGATGTTTGGGGGGCTGTGGCTGGGCGTCATGCCTAGTGAGGAGGAAGCAGGCAGAGTCTTACAGTCCAGTTTGGCCCAGGGGTACTCCATGTCCCAAACCATCCCCGGCCAACGCCTGCACGCTGTCATGGAGCATGGATGACATGTTAGTGGCAGCAATGGGAGCAAGAGCAGGATGGACTCAGACAGATGGATAGACAAACTTGCACACACACACACACACACACACACACACACACTCATACACACATGGGACGGCAGTGCAGCACATTTAAGAAGAATGAGGATGAGGATGAGGAGCAGCGTCAGCCAGCCATCACTGCTACATCGAAGCTTGATGGGACACAGAGTCTCAGGGTGATCGATTACAACGATAAAGGATACTTGGATGCATTATATATGTGGCCTAAAGCATTAAATACATTATGCCTATGGTTTTGAAAAGCTACAGACCAGCTTTCAGTTTATAAATACAGTTGATAAGAATACATGAAAACACACAGCTGTGGTGGCTGGAAGAAACTGCTAGAGTCAATTCAGCAACTACTGGACCGTCAATTATTACCCTGTTAAAACTGTTCTTTTTTCAACATTGGTAACCCTAAAGGGGCCATATTCTGCTCATTTTCAGGTTCATTATTGTATTTTGTGCCTCTACTGTCACTGTGACATGTTTATATGCTTTAATGTTCAAAAAGGTATTTATTTCTCTCATACAGTCTGTGCTGCAGCACCTCTTTTCACCCTCTGTCTGAAACCAGAGCCCAGTCTGCTCTGATTGGTTCGCTGGCCGGCTCTGCTCTTCTGCCAACAGCACAGGGTATTCCAAAGAAACAAAGTTGCCAATATGCAAACGAGTGTTTGACATCAAAAGATGACTTTAGGAACTACTGCTAGCTACTTTCATTGCAAAGAGATGGCACAGTGCCAACAGTGTCCGTTTGCAGTGTGGCCTTCATTATCGGGAGATCATAACTCTTGGCAGACAGGACCACATCATTTAAATCGAGGCTTATAGGGAACTAATCTAAATACAGATGGTAAAGCAAACTTAATAACGATAAGTAAAATAAATAAAAAAACGTTTATTGGCAAATGTCACACATCACAATTCCTTGGCTGCAACACAACTAAATAATAAAACAAATATATAATATCAAACTTTAGCAGCAGAATCATTTGTGAAATCTCTGAACCCACTGTTGAAATAGTTCACCTGAAAATAAAGTGACTGTGTTACAATATCGTCTGAAGTAAGTCCTGGATACAATATGATAGGACATAAACACACACCCTGACATTAATCTAGTAATCTATTTACACACGTTGATTCCGGAGAAATACAAATGGCCGTTCAGAACGAGTTTCCGCAGCAGCGAGGGTGACACGGTCAGCCTTACGGACTTCATTATGTCCTGGCCTCTCACATTAGCCACAGCAGCTCTGTCCCATGCTGTGAACGTTTATTCCAAAGCCTGGCAAACCTCACTAACCTGTCTCTGTCCAGACACAAAGGAACTCATGGTCAGCTAGATCTTCTTCCTCTCACTCACTTGCTCTCCCTGCCTCTATATTCCTCTGAATCTCAATTATATTTCCCCTCAGTCCTTCCCTTTAGAGTGATCGAGTGGTGGGGATGAGACGAGGTGACGAGAGGTCAGTTGGGGGAGATTTTACACCTCTCCCGGAAAGATGGGCAAATTCTATGATAATATAGCTGACTATATTTCAAAAGCCTGAATATCACACCTGCCGTCTCACAATCTGAAGTCCTACACACACAGACAGGCACACGGTCTCAGAAATCCAGACATGTCATTCTCACATGCCAGCATAGGGTAAAAATATTACATACACGTTGAACAACCCTTGAAACTGAGAAAATGTGAAAATGACACGACATCTATGGTGTGGTACTGTGGAGTGCTTTCCTTGTCAAAACAGAATGTGTGTCGGGATCCGATAGAGTGGAAAAGTGCAATCCCGTATTGATTTCAGTGCTGTGGCAGATCGATCAGAGCTGGCACAAGTAGGAAGAACAAGATAAGACACGTTTTCCATTCTATTCATCACAGACTGATAAGGGTGCAGTGCTGACATCCGCGAGCTGCTGTTTGCCGGTCGGCTCTTCTAAGTGTTGGTGAATGAGCTCATGAAGACGCACCCGCACACACACACACACACACACATACACACACACACACACACACACACAAGTATGCACTTTGCGGCCGCCATTTAACAAGGCTGCTTATATTCATAGGAAAGTAATTGCACGGAAAATATGCAGTTTGGAAACAAGAAGGGATGAAAAAAGTAGTGTGAGTGGGGCTTGAGGAAGTGGAGAAAGCAGAGCGTTTGAAGTCAGTCGGATAGCATGAAGAGGCCGGGCCAGTCGTTTGATATTCATCAGCGCACGTAGGCGAGGAGGAACATTGGAGATGAGGGAGGGTGGAGGAGGCAAGGATGGAAAACAGGTGTGTTGTAGAGCAGAAAAAAAGAGGTAATTAAGAAAGGTAAAAGAAGGGATAACGCACAAATGTGATGAAGGGCTGGGATGGAGAACCTGATGGAAGGGGGCAAAAACATGGAATAGAAAAAACCTAAGGGAGAACAGAGGTGCAGTTTGGGTAGTTTCTCACCTGTCCCACTCATTGGATAGCCAGGAGAGGGGGAGAAGACCTGTGAGGCAAAATCTTCGAAGGTCATGACCTCTCTGTGGTTCTGAACAATGGCCTCCAGGTAGAGCGCCCGCTCCTCATAGCTGGTTAGTTCTCGTTAAGGCACAACATATGATGACATGTTGGAGAAGAAAAAGGTAGCAATACAGAGTTAGCATTTCAAAGTAATTAAACCTCAGAATAATCACATTTCAGAACATCATTCTGCACATCTTGTCAGTTATCATAGCCACAGTTACACATCACATATTTTCAGTGGCGCGCTGCATATACATGTGCTGAGAGCAAGAGGCAGGGCAGCTCCACCATCAGCAACCCAGCCAGAAGCGAAGAGGGAACAATCAGCCATGACACACAGCCCCAAATGAGAATGCAGTCTCCAAAATAATCATAAAAAAAGAGAGAAAGAATACATGACTGCTGGCGTGATGCTCCACACCTCTCCTCTCCACCCTCTCGTGCCTCTCTTCTCTCTAATAGAACCCCTGCTGCAGGCAGCATGTTTAGGACCTCCCTCCCCGATGTGCTGCCTGCCACTTCTCCGTGCCATCAGGGGGAAAATTGGAGCCATTTGAAATTCAGAGTGACAAGCAGTGACTGGAGCCTGGGCAACCAGCATGCAGGATGGATGGCCGGATTTGAAATGGGAAAGCTTAAATTAATAAATAAATAAATAAATAAATAAATAAATATAGGCCTGCAAAATGGCTGCCGGATGAGGGTGGAAAACATTCAGGTGGCCATTATCATATCATTATCATAGATTAATCGTAAGTCTGTTGTGGAATGGAGGCAAGTGCTGGGTAAAATATGGTGCAGGGAACTACTGGAGTGAAAAGGTCTGTCTGATGGCATAATGATAGTAAGCACTTTTGAGATTTAACAGTGTGTGAGTGTGTTAGACAATGAGCCAGATTATTCTCACGGCTGTCTGTTGTGGCCATTTTTCTTTGATAGAAAACACCTCACAAATTGCTTGTCAAACATATGCATACTCACTCTCACACAACTCAAGTCGCTCTGCACAGAGCCCCCTCCCCCTCATCTCATTACCACTGCCAGGGTGGAGTGGCACTGGGCTGTTGCTGACGCCAAGGCTGAACCAGGCTGAGCTGAGATAGGCTGGACTGGGGTCTGGGTTAGATAGATAGGACGCGACAGTGACTGGGCGAGGGGCCTGCTGTGGGCACATGCCGCCACAGCAGGGGCCAAAGCAGCCATGACCAATGGCTTTGAGGGAACCGTGGCAAAGGCAGGGTGACGGGCACCTGAGCCGGGAGGCACCAGAGGGGACGCTGGCCAAGCTGCTCAGGGACAGACAGGGATGGACAGAGGGCAGTCCGGGACAAAGGATGGGGAAAATAGGGAGCAAGATGGAAGTGCTATGCCGTACCACACCCTATAAACCAAATAATTACAATTATTTAAAAACAGATAGCTGCATATCAAGTGGGACAAGTTTTTGGTGTCGAGAACGCTAAGGTTTTTGATTGTAGTCAAGCAGTTTTGATCAATCTGGAACAAAAGAGGCAGGATGCATTGTCCAAGGTTGTGGAACACGATCGGATATCGTCTGATGGTGATGTTCTGATTTGTTTAAAAATGTCAAATGGCAACAATTTATTTCGTATGCGTCGTCTTTCAATTACAATTCCGGATCCCAATCAGAAATATTGGCTGTTGCCCAAGAAGCTTAATCAGCGTAAGATAGATAGCCGAGGGGTCCCAAGGTTACATAAAGGTAAATAAAGCCTTGTAAAACTAATATAGTCTTTTGACAAACAAGCATTTTTGAACCAAGGAAAGCAAACGTTGGAGACAAATACTAGCTAGTAGGTTTAAAAATAAAATAAAAAGTATTTATGTTGTTTCTTTCCATGTTAAAACTATTTGGAACTCTGCCCTTTTCAAATTGAGATTTTTTGGATGCTTGTCAGGACAGAACTCCAAAAAATCCATTAAAATAAAAGCTCATATTTCCTGCCTTAAGGAGAAGAGGAATGGAAAGACCTGACCAGGATCTCCATTTAAGAGCATGATTTTGAGTAAAAGCCTCTTGAGCTCTATATCTGTCTTCCGGTCTGCCAGGCATGCAACGTCACTGTTTTCTGTCACTTGCTGGAAACAGTATTGGACAAGAGTGGGCATCCCAGTCTCTGCTGCCATGGTAACTTGGGTCAAAGCTCTGTGTGGTGGGCCATATTCAGGCTTTTATGGATGACAGACACAGAGAAAGGATGTTTGTAAAAAATAACAACATGTGCCCAAATAGGTGATAAGTGGAAGACAAAATATAGTAGCACTTAATGAAAAGAAATGAGAGAAGTTAGAAGGAAGTGAGCAAATGAAAGAGACGGGAAGACGAGAAGAGAGAAAGAGAACCTCGGCACAGCGTGGGTCAACATGGCCATATGGCTGTCCATTATCAGAGATGCAGATGACTGGAGGCCTGTTATTGAGATTCCTAAAGCAAATATTGACTCCAGCTGGAGCAGACGCTCTCGCTGACTCCGACACACGCCTCTCCTCCACTACTTCCTTCTGCTGCCCTCCATCCAAGTCAAATGGATTATAGTGGGTGAGAAATTATTAAAAAAACTTCAAAGAATAAAATCAAGGGAGATAGTGTAGAATTATCAAGAGACGAGAGAAAATATAGAGCCACAGGCTGCCGGGGAGAAAGACAGGCGGTTAGGGAGACTAATAAAAGGTATTTTGGAGACGAGTGAAAGCGAGAGCCATAATCAGCTCACTTAAGTAAATGTACGGAGCTATCTGTCAGTAAAAAAAAAAAATTGCTGCACAGAAATCAGAGCTGATGCACAGCGAGGGGTAATCTTGCCTCCCGCACTCCCTCACCTTTCTGCTCGTCTCTAATTACTAAGCCACAGGCACAGCTTGTTCCGCTGTATATGCACAGATGCGGCTGCCTCTGCGCAGTAACTTAATCAACGGACACGTCCAGAACAGTGACGCAAAGACTATGCCCATGTCATGGACACCAAACCTGCTGACACTGACCTAGTTTTAGGGGGAAAGCTGCAGCTATGATGGTGATCAGCATCATGTTGAGACAAGCTTCTCTGAGAATATGGATCACAAAATACAGAATGTTAGTCTGCCTTTTTTAGATCGACTATTTCTCTATATCGCATCAAGCTACTCTATATTGTGTGCTATACAAATCCTCATAAAGCTAGGGATGAAATGTATAAAAAGGAAAATGCAGACAGGTCTACATTTCCACAGATGGACTGCAACTTAAGTCACCCGTGAGATAACTGTCATTTACAGCTGAACTGGGCGGACAGGCAAGACAAGCCCGAGTATTGGAGGAGAGCGTGTTGCACCACTTTGGGAATTTCCAAGGAACCCCTACGTTCCAAGCCGCTGCATTCCTATTAGGGAGAAGAGAGGGAAACCAATGTAATGCCTATGGAGCGTGACAAACATTGGGATAGTAACGAGAAATAAAAAAACATCAGAGTTAATGTGAAACAACTTTAGTTAGGGGATTTTATGTCTAGAGACATGGAGGATGTGGAAAGGGCTTTGAGAGTAGGGAGGGATTTTTATGGTTTAAAGAAAAGTACAAATCTAATCTATCAAATACAACACATTTGTTTTAGTGGTCATTGTATGCCATATCCCCTGCATGCCCTCTCTTTTTTGAGGACAAAGGAAGTGACTTATGGCCAGCATGTTGTTTCTTAGTGTAGATGTGTATGAATTGTGCAAAAACACACACAATGCAGCTAAAATGGCATAGAATAAAAGGTGTTATATGGCCGAAAAAGCACCATCAGAGTCAGAATCCAACACCGTGAAACCTGTGAATGTGCATGTGTATCTGAGTTGGCCTACGTGTACATGCATATGTATCTGTGGGTGTGTGCACATATGTATACATATGCATGCATGCTGTCCAGATGGCAAGAGATGGGGGGGGGGGGGGGTTCTCTTGGGGAAGGGTGGGGGTCAAGCATCTTTGTGGATCAAAGCCAAGGTCAGGGCAGCTGCAGTGGCCCATGTTCAAGGTGAATGGAGGCCTCAGATGGCTCTTCATTAGCAGGCTGCTCCGTCCCTGCTGGACCCCATCAGCCAACCGCCACCGAGCCTCATCATCCTCTCCCTCCCTTCCTCTTCCTCTGTCCACAGGGACCAGTCCTGAAAACACCCGTCCACTGGGATCCATATTGTGACGTGTGTAACCCCACCCAGCCCACAAGGACACGCACACATGCTCACACAGGCGTTTGTGCATAAGCAGGTACAACACACACTGACACTATTCACCCCCACACACTGTTCCCCCAAAAGAGCCAATGTTGACCTCTAAACTGGAGTCTCTCTGGAGAGCAGCATCCTCCTGACCATCCAGCCTCCGTCTTTGTGTTGCTCAATCCCCCTGCTGACAAAAGGCCTCACGCCACTACTCGCCTTGACACACACTCAACATCAAACTGAACACACACATCCTTTGAACACACACAGCCAGCAGGGAAGTCAATGGCTTCTAAAAGTAAACCTCTCAGTTTATATTCAATGTTTTCTTGCCATTTGTTCACCACCAGCACATTGTGCGTATACTGGAGGCCAAAAAAAACATATGAATGTATTTTGTTTCTCACTAAAACATAGTCTTTAATTTGATTTTAAATCTGCATTGTTAACATCCATGTAAACAAGTGTTTGCAGTCTTCTATTCCCCTATTTCGCGTGTTGCAACATCTAATTCAACTGCCGTTCAACAGAAATGCATGAATCATCAGCATACATTTGATTTATTTATAAAAACAAATGTACCAACATTTACTATCGGACTAAAACATGATTCCTTAGTTCAAACGTTATCAGGTCAACCTATATAAAAAAAAGCGTGAACACCAAGCAATGGCATTCAAAGAGTCTTTTAGGTACCCCAAAAGTGCTGACCACCATATGTTTTGAACCAAAGATTCTTTCAAGGTTCACCATGTGGTCAATCTCAGTAAAGGTTATGTGGGGGTCTCGGTCAGGAGAAGACAAACCCACTGACCGCAGCTTGACAGTCCATATGGAGTTTGCCAAGGGGAAGTGCATG